ACTCCTGGGTTCTTTGGTAATCACGGTCTTGAGATCAAATTAGAGGGTTTGATGAAAAATTAGTGGTTTGACAAGTTAAAACCTCTAAATTCTTATTGTTTGATAGGTATGAAATAGTTTTTTATCCAAAAAGTTCGCCATGCAAATAGGTAGACATTTTGGAAATGATATATACGATGACATTTAGTGTGATATCATTGAAAAAATCCCTTGAAAAGCTCGGTAGTCGGTACAAGTGACCGACCTCCTCGAATGAATGAAATTGCAAAAGAAATAGTTCTTTTTATTATGAATTTGTTAAGAGATTTTACTAAAATAAAATTGAGTCTAATTTATAAAGTTGCTAAATATATGGGTGGTATTAAAAAGTTATAAAAGTTAATATAAAGGAGAATATTTTAAGAATATTTTGAGAATGAGTATCGGTTGGAGAAGAATTAATGCGTGACAGTTACTTCAAAATAAGTTTGAGAATGAATTTGCGATGGGAAATTATAAGCTCGTGGACTTTTTTAAGAAACTATTTCTAAAATTTTATGAGATAAACTTAAACTTGTTAAAAAAAAGTCCATCTTAACCAAGACTGTAAATGAACTGAATTGAGCTCGACTCGTTAAATCAACGAGCCAGAAATCGACGAGTTCGAGCTCAGCTCGTTTATCAATATTAACAAGGCGATCTCAAGTTTTGACGAGTCGAACTATAAAAAATTATATAAAATTTTTTTATCAAGCGAGTCGAGCCGAACTCGAGCCTTAGAGCGGCTAACTAACTAGATAAGCTATAAGTTAGCTTAAACATTTTTAACAAAGCACCTGAAATTGTGTAACACAATTGCCATAAGTCACCATTACATTTCAATTTTCAAGAAAATAGAGACTATAAACATCACACAAACAGCCACAAATACTCAACCTAACTGTATAACAAATTTCATGATCACAACATTTGCTACAAACTTTTCCCTACACTTAGGCGCTTAAAAATCCTTCTCCAAACCTTGTGCCTTTTACACCCATTTTTCGACTCAGAAAAATCCTGCTTATCAGATTCAGACGAAAAATCGAAATCCAAATCAATAAAATCACCACTCTCCATAACTGGAAAAACACCATCAAACTGCGAAAACCCATTGGTGACGTCAGACATCTTGGCCACAGAGAACGATGACGACATGGACCTAACCCTATAATTAATTCCACTTTGGCCCCCCGAAAATCCAAAATTCTCCGGCGACCCATGCAGTTTAATAATCCCTTTCCCAAAAAGGCGCTTAACTCTCCAGAATTTTTCCAGCGGCCCCTTTGGCCCATCCGCACAGCCGCTGTTGCTCCTCATGAAAAGATCGGATTTTTTCGACTGGGTTTTGGTTGTTTCCTCGTTTTCCGCGAAGAAAGTGAATTTTCCGGCGCCGTCGAGGTCGACGGAGCCGGTCGAGTGGCGGTACGAGGAGAGGCCGGCGTCGGAGGAGGCTAATTTTACCAATTTGCCCCTCAGGCAGGGAGCGCACACGCCGACCTGAGATGGGTTCGGGTGTTTTATGCAATGGATTTGGGAGCTGAAATCTGGGAATTGTGCGAGCGTTTCGATCGATTTTGCTTTATATTTCATGGCGTTGGTGAAAATTGAGCTGCAAATAGAGATGATTTTGATTATGGGAATAAAAGGAAAGGGAAAAAAATATTGTTATGGCTTTGTGGATAATATTAATTTGTCGTTGAGTAGTTTTTTCACCTTATTCTGTGTCAGTATTTATAGAGTTCTTTTTGGATAAAAAACGACAGTGACCAATGGAGGTGAACCTTTTTGGTGGCAAACAGTGCCGTGGGATTTACGTTTTTCTCATTTTTTTTTTATTTTTTTTTTATTGGAGAATTAATTAAAAGGGCAACGAATTTCGATTGAGATGAAATTATATGGATATGAGGACTCAAGAAAACATGATTTCTTTCAAGTGATTGATAATGTTACAACTAAGTTCGAGTTATAATGGGCAAATTCGTACCTATGGCTTGCCTTTATGGGCTTTTTAATCTTGATTTTACACACACTCATTTGAGTGTGTGTAAATTAAGAATTAAAAATTGGGACACCTACGAACATAGTCAAACCTTACTTAGAATTGTTGTTTGAGTTTGTTGTTGTGCACAAATCAACCGGCACATCATTCATTTAGACATGTCTGTATTTTTTCACGATTTTACTAATTTGAAATGACATGAAAATTGAAATTCATGTACCATTGGAGATGCTCTTAGTCACTCACACGTGCATGCAAAAGTAACATAATAATTGACATAAAGTTTAACATAATATATAGGTCATGTGATTCTACACATCATATCAACTTCAAAATCAACAATTTGTTATCTTACACTTCGTTTATATCATCCATTATGTCAAAAACTTTGTTAAATTAGCTTTATTAATACGTACACCGAGTCTAGCATTAGATATGATATTGGCTTTTACTTTTGTATATNCGAGCCGTTCGAACTCGTCGCCGGCACGAGAGGTGAAATTGAAAGACCGGCGATTGAAAGATGAAAAATTTCTGGTGAATGAAATTGAATCGAGAGGTGAAATTGAATTGAGAATTGCTGGTGAATGAAATCGAATCGAGAGGTGAAATTGAATTGAGAATTGCTGTTGAATGAGAGACGTAAATGTCGTTATGTTTCAAGATTTTAGGGGCATGTATTTGAAAATTTGATAAATGTAAGGGGCTTAATTACAATTCTAGGGTTTTTATTAAATTTCAATTTAGTACATAAGTCAAATCTGTAATTTATGAAAAGTATATTAACTACACAATAATGATAATGAAAATGTAAAATATTATTTAATAAATTTATATTATAAATTGAATAAAAAAATATTACTTCAAAGTAAATAAAATATAATTGAATCGAAATATAAAATTTCGAACCAAAAATTCTAGTTCGCTCGGTTTCGACGGCTAGCGCAAACTGATAGTCAATGACGTGCAATCTGTACAACATCATTGTGCAGTTGTAATACAAAAAAATACAAAATAATAATAATAATAATAATAATAATAATAATAATAATAATAATAATAATAATAATAATAATAAAACATGGTTGTGTGTTCTCCCATGCAGCCATATAAGTATAATAATTAATAAGTGGCTTATAAATTATCCTGTGAAAAAAGAAAAGGTTAAATAAATCACATGAAATATAGAAGGTTAATTACACCATGTTAAACAATACAATTTTGCTATTACATCCACTATAAGGCTAGCAATTAAAACCTATCACTGATCATTCTTAGGCTATGTTTGGTAAAATTAGCTGATAAGCTAGCTTATAGCTTATCAGTAATTTTTTAACTTATAGTTTATAGCTTATAGCTTATGACTTATAGCTGAAAAGTTAGCTTATATGATAAAAGCGTTTGGTAAAATTAGCTGATAAGCTAGCTGGAATAAAAAATTCAACTAGCTTATTTGAAAAGCTACCTAAAGAAGCTTATCAAATAAGCTCGAACTTTTTAAAAAAGCTCGCCTTACCAAACGAGACTTATTTGAATACAGGAAGCTTATAAGCTAATCAAATAAGCTATAAGCTAGCTTATTTGGCTTACCAAACACAGCCTTAGTTTAGTATTCCATCTGTGTAAATTCATATTCGACATTGTGCAAATTTACAGATATAAATATATTATTATAAGTTATATGTATGATTGCAATATATGTAGGATCTTGTTTGTATTTTTACTAATGAATTTGATCATTAATAAAATAAACTATACACATATAAAATATTCTACTTACATATGAGTTACTATGTTGATTGCATAAAATGTAATAATTATGTAAACTTTGAGATATAAAATTTTCATATAAACTATTGTTTTTATGTATAGTTATACAATAAAAATAGTATGACTATTGCTTTTAAAAAAAAAAAAAGTTACCAATTCAGAAATTGACCCTGATGAGCACGAAAGACCTACCCGGGTCAATCAACGAGTTTTGAGACATTGGATACGAGACTATTCCATTAATGTTCAAAATAATATGTATATTAAATTTCAACCAAAAATATTATTCAATCAGAATATTTTTTTTTTAAATCCATCAGAATAAAATTATATGTAGCATATCTTTGAACCAACGAAGGTTACGAAAAAAATCTATTATGTTAATCAATGGTAAAAACTCAATGACTGCACTTCAATCAACGGTAGGTTAAATTGCATCCCTTTTTCGTGCTAACTAGTGATTCATCTTACACTTTTTTCTCTTATTTCACTCTAGACAGTTTTTTCTTTAATATCATAGAAATATGATAAATTGGGTAAGATATATATAAACCATATATAACATGTGTTATGAGGTAATTTTCATAATTTTTAAATTTCTTTCTGCACTACTATTCTCAAAATATAATTTTCCACTCAATGTTGCAGAAATACAATTTGCAAAACATATCTCCCCATCTGTGTCACACTACAAGTATTTCTCCACAGCACTAAATAGTAAATACCAGGAAAGAATAATAACTAAAAATAGTTACAACAATAAGATTTGTATAAATAATTTGCAGCAAATTAAAATAATACTAGTCTCAATATAAAAATTTGCTTTCAAGTCTGCTCTCATCTGCAGAATAGATTGGCCCTTGTTGTAATAGTTTCTTGGATCATAACCAGACATCTAGAAACAAAACAAATATACTTATTT